ATGGACAGATCAATTCTAAACGAACCAGAGACCCTCCCTCAGGGACAGATGCCTAAAAAGCAAAATGGGGTCAGAGCAGAGAGACCAGAGGCTGCGAGTGGATGAACGGGGGTAAATGGAGGAAATACCGGAGTAGAAACTGCTGTTTTGTGGACGTAGATCGCAATATAACAAACTTCGCTGTCGTTTACTTTTTCTACCGTATGTCCATTTTTTGAATGAGCCATGATGTGTCTGACACAAAACAAAGGTTTTGTGAGACGAGAATCTTCAGACGATGTTGTGACAGTAATGTTTCATTCACAGCACTCATTTTCTTATCACCAAACAGATGGTATGACCATCTGGGGGCAGTCGTGGGCTGGAGGTTAGGGAACCAGCCTTGTGATGGGAAGGTCGCCGATTCGATCCCCTCAGCCGAGAGGACGTGACTGAAGTGCCCTTGAGCAAGGCACCTAACCCCCAACTGCTCCCCGGGCGCCGTGGATAGGGATGCCCACCGCTCGGGGCAAGTGCGCTCACTTCCCCCTAGTGTGTGTTCACTAGTGTGTATGTGGTGTTTCACTGCACGGATGGGTTAAATGCGGAGGTCTAATTCCGATGTGTTTGGACACAGTTGGCTAAAAGGTTCATTTAAAAGTTTAAATGCTGGGGGAAAAGTATGTAATAATTGACTGGTATTGACCTGCATTCTGTTCTTTTAACCTGTAAAATGACTGAAAACGGTAAACGGTGTGTCATTTCTCAGACATTAGCCCATCATTAATACTCCAATGACAGTCTGAACAGGTCAGGAATCTCCAAGATTCAACTTAGCAAGCCAAAGTGGGCTTACTCGTGTTGAGTCTACTTTACTGAGAGCAATTTCTATTGTTTTACACCAGAGAGGCAGAGAAAAGGAGAGACAGAAAAGAGATAAATGAGCTGAGCAGGATAAAGTAGCACTGGTAAGCCTTAAGCGGTAACGTAATACAAACTTGCTGATGTGGTCTACGACATAGTGTGACCCACTGTGTGCTACAAAAATGAATAAAACTTCATCCTGTAGCTGGACGCTGCAGACAGATATTTTAGACAACAGGTGTTGTGCTGCATTCTGACTCCTCCGCAAATTCTGACTCCCCTTCACATGTATGGTCATACAGGCGCACTGAAGCTAGAGTACGTTTGCCATTTTCGCTTTTTGTGTTTATGAACTTACACCGATCAGCCATAACATTAAAACAATCTCAATGTTTCTGCATTCTCTTTTATCAGCTCCACTTACCATACAGGAGCACTTTGTAGGTCTACAGTTACAGACTGTAGTCCATCTGTTTCTCTGCATACTTTGTTACCCTGTTCTTCAATGGTCAGGACATTTACATTTATGGCATTTGGCAGATCCTCTCATCCAGAGCGACTTACAATTTGACTATTTTTACACAGGTAGGCGAAGGTAGTGTTAGGAGTCTTGCCCAAGGACTATTGGTATAATGTAGGGTGCTTAGCCAGGCGGTTACTGAACCCCAGTCTACAGCGTAGAAGGCAGAGGCGTTACTCACTACACTATACCAACCACAGAGCAGGTGTTAGCCCCCTTTTACCCTGTTCTTCAGTGGTCAGGACCCCCACGGACCCTCACAGAGCAGGTACTATTTGGGTGGTGGGTCATTCTCAGCACTGCAGTAACACTGACGTGGTGGTGGTGTGTTAGTGTGTGTTGTGCTGGTACGAGTGGATCAGACACAGCAGTGCTGCTGGAGTTTTCAAACACCTCAGTGTCATGGCTGGACTGAGAACCAAAATGATCCAGCCCACAGCGTCCTGTGGCCTCCTAGCTATGACGAAACATGCTAAAGTGGCTAACAACGAGAAGAAAGTAGGCATTAGAATGATATAATTTGCATATTTCTAATCAGTGACTATTTGCTTTCATTAACTGATACCAATTTAAGCTTTAATGACTTAACAATTCTTTTCACAAGCTGCTTTTGACTCTGAGCTGTCCTAAGCAGAATGGGGCACCAAGAGCAAGTAAATATTGTCACTGGAGATTACGTGTCCAGCACAGGGCTAAACAGGGTGATATGGCCCAGACACGATCAATCACAATCACAAAGCAGACATCAAGGACACGGTTAAAGTCAAAGCACATCACTCTTTCCTTCTATACCTGGCCTGTCTTAAAGCATGATAAACACCTGGATCAAATTAACATTACGTTCAAGTTCATCACCAGGAGCCTGCATACAGAAAGACCATGCAAATCCTCAGAATGCTGGAAGGAAGTCTATCTAGTGAACAAGAGAGACCACCCTTCATTCATTTCGTTATTCATTTAGAGTTATTCATCTTTCAGCATCAGGTAAATTTACACAGAAGCCTCAACAACTGCATATAATATCATATACTTCAGTATTTAGTGTGTCCACTCTGCCTTTATTACAGCTCCCATTCTTTTCAGGTGACTCACTTTCAGTTTCTCAAAGAATCTGCAGACACACCTCCAAAGTTCAGTCTTAGAAGCTGGTTGATCGTTTTCTGAAGTAATCAAACACATTCAGTGGTGTTGAGGCCTGGACTCTGGGGTGGTCAGTCCATCGTTCAGCTTCTTTGTTTGATGTGTCCGTCTCCTTTTCTCAGTGAGGTTCTTCTTGATCAGCTACACATCCTTTCAGACCCACAGCGCTGAGTCGTCTTCTCACAGTGGAAGGATGGACAGAAACACCTGTGGATGTTTTCAGATCTGAAGCAGCTTGATTTTCTCCTCTCTCTCAGAGATGAAAGCTTTAAGTGCTGTTTATCTGATGGGGCCAGTTTTGGCGTCTACCAGGTCTTCCAGTTGGTTGTTAGGAGTCACATTTTCTCTGTAGCTTTTAATCATTTTGTGAACTGGAGTTTTGGAAACTCTTGTTCTTTTTACTTATTTTATAGTGACTATACCGTTTTTATGTCTCCTGAAAAATAAATAACTTTTTTGTATGGCTGTAGCATCACCAGGGATTGACCTCACTGACGATAGAGCCAAAGCTTAGACGGTTGCAACACTGAGCATTAAATAAATGAAGGGTGGTCTCTGACCATCGCACAGTCCTGTACGTACCCAGCCCAACCCAAATATATCTTCACAACAGGTGACTGAACCCTGTCCATTCCTAACTCAGGTGGTCCAGTTTTTCTCCCAAGAAAAAAGCCCCTCTCTGTCTGTCATTCTGTCTGCCTCACTCTCGTTCTCTCTGTATCTCGCGCCCTCTCTCCCTCTCTCAAGGTCGTCTCTGTGAGAGGAAAGAAGTCGTCCGCCGCACTCCAAAGCTCACTCTCTAGCATGGAGAAGCTCCTTAATCTCGCCCACATTACACTGGCAAACGTGTATGAGTCTGCAAGACAAGGCGGGGAGAAAATGACTTGTTCATACCTGACTGGCTCTGTAATATAAAATCCAATTTGGGTAGGGAGTGTGTGCGTATGTGTGTGCGTGTGGAGGTGGGGGGGGTGCCTTTAGGAGGGAAAGATAAGGGTCTCCGTCGGTGACGGTCCCATCAGCTCAGCAAACACTAAATAATGAACAATACTGAGGCTGTCCCGCCATGATAAAACACTCCATTACTGCCACTGTGCAGAATTAATGATAATTATGCCACGTCCTCCACAGCGCTCTTATTGAATTTTTATCTGCTCCTGGAGCAAGCCTCTCTGAAGCAGTCTTTGCTCCCCCAAAAAGGAGAGAGAAATAACAATAGTTTTAAAAAAGCTAATTTACCATTTTCAGTTTAAAAAAAAAAGTGGTGGTGGGGTTGGTGGTGGTGGTGGTGGGGGGGGGGTGTTCAGAGGGGCAGTGGGAGGTGCAGTGATGTGGGCTGAAGCTCAGAGAGCTGCTTGAGTGATCTCTGAGAGAGAATGTGCAGAAGCACTCTGGAGCAGTGGAGCATTTAGCAGCTTGAATAGTGTCTGGAAGACTCAAAAAAAAAGAAGAGAAAATCACTAGGTAATTAACTGCACAGTCAAATATGCGAAGTTGACCACAAACTCATTTTTTTTGTGCAAATACTGTGTGCATTAGGGTCTGACCAATATAACAGTTGGTTGATATTAGCAAGCTGCAGCATTAGCAGTATCGACCAATGATATCGCTGATAAAGCACTAATAATTAGTGCTTTTATTGGACGCACCTGCATGGGATTTGAACTCATGATTTCAGACACACAATACAACTGTAACAGAAGTAACCTGATTACTTTAATAGAGTAATCCTTTGGATTAGGTTACAAATTACATTTTTAACAGGTGATCAGTAACACCCTCCCAGCCCTAATCACTTTCAACTCTCTAAAATCGGTCTCTTAGGCGTCTTAGACACTTCACAATCTCCAGCTTTTCATTATAATTTTCCCGTTCCACCTTAAATGGTGCAGCAGTTACATTCTGGTGCCTCAGGCACCATTTAAGGCGGAACAGGAAAATTCAAACAAGAAGCTGGCGAATGAGAAGCGACTTCAGCCTTGTAAAAAGTCGAACGCTGAGAGACATTTTTCAAGGAACTGTTCTACTTTTGAGGAAAGGTTTCCTGCTGGAGATGTGAGAAAAGCAGCTATAGCTGAGCTAAAGCTTAAAGCAGAGCAAAGTAAGTCTGTGTTTTCATTTATATTATATTTTAGCCTATACTAGTACATCAGCACATACTGAGACATATTTACAGCCAAGATGGTAAAATGGACATAATAATGGCTCCCAAGGTAGATTGATTTTTGTTAAAAGGACAAAATGGCTCTGTACTACATATGTAAGTATCTATATGTAATATGAATGACCCTAAATCTAACCCTAAATAATCAGTACAGTAGCCAAAAAGAAATGGTTTTCCTCAATCATATTGACCTGTAGGTTTTTTGAAAAGCACTTTACAAACTCAGGTGCATTTTGCTGGTGCTGATATTGTAGGTTTTATCTGGTTTTCCTACAAAGTCAGGACAGGTTTGTCCTGAGTATGTACAAAAACAAACACAGAATGCTCACTTACTAGAACTTTGTGGCAGACTGGAGAAGAAGCCTTTGAGGCGAGCAGCTAGCCACTCCATGCTCTCCTGCAGGTTAGCCAGGGCCTTCAGGTCACTCACATCCCGAAGAATTTCGTTCTGAGGGATCAGCTTGTCTCCCAGGTTGCCAGTCAATACCTCGGACTCCTTAGCGAAGGCGGCTCTGAGAGAAACAAACATAATCTGACATAAAACATGAGTAAAAGCTTTGATACGGTTTTCCCTCATTCCTCCGTGTCATCTGTACCTGCAGCAGGTAATATCGTAAGTTTAAGGACTTCGGAAGAAGCAATTAAAAAACTAAACTTCTTAAACATGCAAATAAAATAAGTGAAAAAACCAAAGGTTTCAAAGACTGGAGTTCAAAAAATGACTAAAAGCTACAGAGAAAGTGGGGATCCTAACAACCACCTGGAGACACCAACGCTGTCCCCTGAAAGGAGAGGAGAGGAAATAAGGGGAGGGGAGAGGAGAGGAGAGGAGAGGAGAGGAGAGGAGAGGAGAGGAGAGGAGAGACCAGAGAGGAAAGAAGAGGAGAGAAGAGGAGAGCAGAAGAAAGGAGTGGAGAGGAGAGATGACAGACGAGAGTATAAGAAAGGAGTGGAGAGGAGAGAATAGAGAGGACAGTATAAGAAAGGTGTGGAGATAAGGAGAGAGGAAAGATGGAAGAGGAGAGAAGAGGAGAGAAGAAGCAAGGAGTGAGGAGAGGAGAGGAGAGATGAGAGAGGAGAGTAGAAGAAAGGAGTGGAGATAAGGAGAGAGGAGAGGAGAGGAGAGGAGAGATGAGAGAGGAGAGCAGAAGAAAGGAGTGGAGAGGAGAGATGAGAGAGGAGAGCAGAAGAAAGGAGTGGAGAGGAGAGAATAGAGAGGACAGTATAAGAAAGGTGTGGAGATAAGGAGAGAGGAGAGGAGAGAAGGGAGAGGAGAGAAGAGGAGAGCAGAAGAAAGGACTGGAGAGGAGAGGAGAGATGAGAGAGGAGAGCAGAAGAAAGGAGTGGAGATAAGGAGAGAGGAGAGGAGAGGAGTGGAGAGGAGAGATGAGAGGAGAGTAGAAGAAAGGAGTGGAGATAAGGAGAGAGGAGAGGAGAGGAGTGGAGACGAGAGAGGAGAGGAGAGTAGAAGAAAGGAGTGGAGATAAGGAGAGAAGAGGAGAGGAGAGATGAGATGAGAGAGGAGAGCAGAAGAAAGGAGTGGAGAGGAGAGATGAGAGAGGAGAGCAGAAGAAAGGAGTGGAGAGGAGTGGAGAGGAGAGGAGGAAGTTGCTGAGGAGAGACTATGATAACAATCTCACGCTCCTTTGAACACAAGACGGCTGGCCTTGCTTCAGTCCTGGAGTCACGCCAGAAGTCCACATCAATACCAACATGCATTTCAATCAAGCCTGACCTCTTCCCCTCCCTCTCTCTCCCCCCCCCTCTCTCTCTCTCAGTTCAACAGTGCTTTATTGGCATGAATATAATAAAATACACTAATGCCAAAGCTGTAACACATAAACATAAATACAAAAACAATATTATATATTATAATAGAACACTAGAAATTAAGCTATTTACAGGGTTATTAGTAATCAAAGAAAAAGACCAAAAAAGAGTCAAGACATATTTCAGAATATATAATAATCAATATATAATAACCAACAGTTATTAACTGATTGTCCCTCAGGTTGTGACAGGTGGTCAGGTGTCTCGCTGCGTGTGATCAGCTCGCTCTTCTCTCCCAACACGCACGGCAGTTTCTCAGAGTCACTGCAGAGCTCAAACTCAGGACAGACGCCGCTCACCTTCCCATAGAGCTCCTTTCTAATGGAGTCGTATTTAGAGCAGCTCTGTGAGGAAGTGCAGCTCCGTCTCCACCACTGAGAGCTCACAGTGAGACCACAGTCTGGCCTCTCTGGGTAACCAGCTCTGTCTGCGCTGGCCAGTTTCAATGGCCAGACTGTGCTCACTGAGTCTGTACATGGTCAGCACTCTCCTCAGTTTTCTCTCTTTAATTGTTGTCAGGTATGTTGCTAAGGTGTCTGTAATCTCGATTTAGGGCCGAATAGCACTGAACCTTGTGCTGTTGATGTGTGGTCTCAGTCCAGTGGGTGATGTAGTTGTGTTTTTGGTTGGTGATAATTTGGTTGGGTCTGATTTTCTGGGCGAGCGTGTGGTCAGGCTGATTGGTGTTGGTGATGTCAGTGGGTTTTAGGTCACTGAGACTCAGGACCAGCTGGCTCAGGGGACTCCTGTCGATGTTCTGCTCCTAACTGGCCAGTGCTTTACAGTGGAGTGACTAGGGGGTCACTGGATTTTATATGTTTCCAGAAATTAAGAGCTCTTTTCTGAATATTTAATAGAAGTGGAAATTGTCCTAATTCTCTCTGCACTACAGCATTTCAGGCAGTCAAATCAGCAACATGACAAAACTGGGAGAAGAACTGGATGAATGTTGGTTTTGTGTTTGTTGAGTCCATGTACTATGAACACCTCACAGAAAATGACCAGTGTTTTGTAAAGCAGACGATTTACTCCATCTGAGTCTGTGATAAATGTGCAACAACAGATCTACTTTTTACTCTAAAAACGAAAGTAAACAAGAAAGAAACAAACAACGAAATGAACATGTACTGAAAGGAAGGCTTATTAATGGGGTTTTTATCGCTGTGCGTTTGGCCGCCAGACTGATGAAACTGTCACAGGCGTTTATATAATAAAGCTCTCTCGCCGGCTCTCCGTGTTTAGCATCAATGAGCGAGACAGACCGGCTTTTTGTCCACCTAACCAGGTCATTTATTTATTTTACAGTTGCTGTCTGCAGCGTGGCTTTCTGCCGGACAATAGACTTCCAAACCAATTCTGATATAAACAGACGCCTCCTCCCTTCACTCACTCCTCTCACAATCACTTACTCTTAAAGGAAGAACCACTGCTCAGCCACGTGAGAGAGAGAGAGAGAGAGAGAGAGAGAGAGAGAGAGAAATACAGCAACAGAGAGAGAAAAAAATAAAAAAGAGAAAGAGGCCAAGAGAGAAAGACAGAGAAAGAAAGAAGAAAGAAAGAAAGAGAGAGAGAGAGAGACAGAGAGAAAAAAAAGACAGAGAGAGAAAGAGAGGGAGAGAGATACCGAGACAGAGATGATAGAGACAGAGACAGAGAGACAGAGATACAGATATAATTAGAGAGACAAAGAGAGAGAAATAAGAAAGAGATAGACAGAGATAGAGACAGAGAGAAAAGAGAGAGAGAGAGAGAGAGAGAGAGAAGGGGAAGAAAGAGAGAGACAAAAAGATAGAAAGACAGCAAAAGAAAAAGAAAAAAGAAAGAGATAGAACCAAAGAGACAGAGAGACAGAAAGAGAGAGAGAAAAAAGAAAGAAAGAGAGAAAGACAAGGGTGTGTGTGTGTATATATATATATATATATATATATATATATATATATATATATATATATATATATTTATAGAGAGAGAGAGAGAGAGAGAAAGAGAGAATGAGACTGAGAGAGAGAAAAGCTGCTGGTTTGTATTAAGACCAAAACCAAAACACTGAACTCCAATTACTGGCAGTTGTATCTCCGTCGGGTCTGCTGAGCCCACCGTGACCGTCGCTGCTCTCCTCGAGCAGATATGAAAAGCTCTGCATGAGTTAGAAGATCAAGCTGTGCTGTTGAGACTGATCTGCACTCTGCGGTCAGTAGTGGAGGAGAGGGACGGTGGCCAATTGCCGGTCATTATTAAAACATCCTCATCCTCTTCATGATGTACTGCAGCCTTTTTCAGAAACACGGTGCTGCACATCAAATTCACCACAGAGAGCTTCAGGAAATCCTTTATTCCAACAGCCACGAGGCTTTTTAATAACACTGTACTCCGCCCGAGAGAATCCGCTCTGACACGCTGCCTCTAACACGCCTATTTCCATTTCTCACCCGTCTTCTGCAGTACGACTGTGTGCCACAGATGCACAACTGTGCAATTAATATAACTTTCTTATGCGTCATGAGCGATAGACACTGACGCCACATCGGTACGGTGATGATCAGCACTGCTTTTTATAATCCTTTTATTTAGTCATTTGTTTTTATCTTCTTATTGTTCATATCTACTCTTTTTTATTTCACCACTGTCCAAAAAGCACCATCTCCAAAATGTAACTTCACCAAAAATGTTCTTAATGTAGGTTAATGTAAAGAGATTTTATTCCGGGTTATTTTGGAGCATTTCTACTGGAGTATTCATCATGAAATTTTCACAAAATGTTAAGGACAGCGTGCCACCCCCCCCGCCCCGCCAGGCCCCAACGACAGCCACGAGAGCAGTCGGGAAAGTGGGGTCCGAATCCTGAACACTGCCGAGGGTCGTGAGTGGCAGGGGGAGGAGGACATCAGCCGCCAGAGAGGGAGAAGGCGACAATGACAGCCACGAGAGACACGAAGGCAGGACACGAGTTCCGAACTCTGCCACCCAAACCCCGCTTCCTGTTCCACAGCGAGTCTGCTAGACCAGGGGTTCTCGACCTTTTCCACCCCAAGGCCCACCTGTGTATAATTACAAAGCATAGCGGCCCACAGGAAAACTAAAATCAACGTTTTAAAATACAACAACAATACTGACACTGAAAACCTGGAAATTAGGGCCTGAAAAGGATCAGATCGGCCATTCTGGTTTCCAAATTTACAGGTATGTTAACAAACATCAAATGGTTGTAGTGATGTTACAAAGCGGGGGAAAAAAGAAAAAAAAAAAGAACAGAAATGTACAAGATAGATGTAATTTGGAGCTGCAGTCCATCCCTGAAAATATTCCACTGGCTTTCCCAAAAGTGTGACAGTTTGGTCTCGAGATGTCTCTAGTTTTGAGGGATTTATTTGAAACCTCACTCTGCTCACTGGGCTTTTGGATTAGCGTCGTCACAATCAACAATAATGATAAATCTAACTTCATATCTGCTTCTTTGACATAGTTTATCAGTTTGAGTTTAACCACTCAGGTCGTTGATGCTGGGACAAATATATGCTCTGTGATCCTGAAATCAAATGCATCTCTTCTTTAACATTTTATGGCTCGTCTACTGTTCTTGACAGCAGCTTGTGCTCAGTGTCAGTGTCGCTATGCTGACTGTCTGGCGCCGAGGTGCTGTTAGGAGAGAAGGAAAGCCAGCTTTGCTGTCCCTTGTTTGATCACAGAGTGCGTTTCCATCAGCAGAGAACTAAACAGGGTTTGGAAACGGATCGGGACCTGTGGGTTTCTGCCAGACTGGTTCAGCTGCTTGTTGAAGAAACGAATATGGGTGTTCACAGGTGTTAAAACGGAGCGAACTAAAGGAAAAGGTGTGATCAGTCCACACCAAACAAAGCACCCTCAGAACCTTCTCCGTCTCTGGCTAGTCATCTGCACCGCGTGCCCACGGCTGCACTGTCTCATGTTGTTTAATTAGCCACTACTGCGACGTTTTTATTTGTAATTCTCTATTAATGTTTATAGTGGTTATAATGTGAAAACATCTAATTTACAGGTCAGCGGACCACTAGAGGGTGCTTCACGGCCCACTAGTGGTCTGTGGCCCACAAGTTGAGAAACCTTTCAGTAGACCCGTGTGTTTCAATTCAGGGGCTGCGTTCTTCGGAGGCTGCATTTGAAGGCTGACTGCGTCACAGCGGCGTGACTACACTGTCCGATTTCGAAGCCTCCTTCATATGCGGCAGAGAAATGTGTCCTTCTTTTCCATGGCAACGAAGGATCCAACGGGTGCATCCTTCGCCAGCCAACATGTCCCGAGGTTCGTTGTGTGCAGGCGAGGATTCGAGAGCATGGCGGGACACGCCTTCGTAGACCGCATCCTTCAAAGGATCCAGCCCCTCAATTGGGATGGCCGAGCTGGGGAGCGGGGGCGATGACCGGGAGGCGGAGCAATGAGCTCTCTGTCCCTCTCGGCTCAGGTGCTCAGATGCCTTCATGAGAGCCAGCTGATACCGAACTGGCCTCGGCAGCGTGAGCGGCTTTAAAAAAGAGCAGAGAGGGAACAGAGAGAGAGGGACGAGCAGCAGAAAAGCCTGAGGAACTGAAAAGCTTGGTTTTGAGAAAAGGACTGAAAATCTAGCTTTAAAGCCACTGAAGTGTTTTGGAGTGGAAATGAAGTTAACATGGCTGCTGCAAACGTTTCTCCAGCCTCCAGCGTCCTTCTTGTGCCCGGGGTAGCACATGGCGTACTACAGACAGCTGCTGTGTTCAAATGATGGAGAAAAAAAACTGAAAAAATTGAGATTTTCTTGAATTCCCATTTTTTCCTCTGAGGTCCACTTTTAACATTTGAGTGTTTTTTATGTACCTAAAACACTCATAATTAATTTCATGGTTAATTAAACAACTGATCATTTCCAACCTCTTTTTATGCCTTAGTTTTAAACAGGCTGTGCCTTTAAGACTGATGTATGTAAATGAGCTCTGTTCTGATTGGCTGTGCTGTATTGAGCCTCATTCAAATAGCAGTCTGGTTCTGAAACACTTCTTACAACTTCATGGGGAACGAGTGAAGCTAAATCGCTGTATGCTAAATAGCGGGTGCACGCAAATTAGTGACATCACAAAAAACAAATTCAAAACAGGGAAATGTTTTCACAGCTTGATTTTCATATACAGACTGTACTAGTGGGGAGTGAATGGCATATTTTGACACTGTAACAATGTTTACTTAACACATCAAACTCTTTCATTTCCAGAAGCGAGGAAAATTCAGTTTTCTGTGAAACGGCCCTTTTAACGTCTGCTCTCTTCAGGTCCTTTCAGCTGCTGTGCGCTCTTAATTTCCCTTCAGGGGACTAAGAGCAATGTATCACATCATATCATATCATATCTCATTTCATATGCACTGCCTTGTCTAGCATCAGTCTGAAAACAGTCATGCGAGCGGCCACTCAAAATAACTCCAGAAAGCAGAAGAAGAAAAAGTAAACCAAACTAATACTGGTGTGCACAGATTCACAGATCTACAAATACAGCTGAATGTGTCTTATAAAGAACGCGCACGAAAGAATATCTAATGCTGTTCACGTGACTGTCTGTAGGTGTTGTGTGGGCCACTGTATATAAAGAGGCTGTGTCTAAAACACTAGTTTATTAAAGGGCCCATAGCTTTTTTTAAAACGTTCACTCTCCAATCCATACAAACCACATACCTGCAGTCCAAAGACAAACATGTATCTCCATTTTTTCCAATTTCCACTTGTGTACATAATTCCAGCATGGTGTCCTTTACATCAGGGGTGCTCAGTCCTGGTCCTGGAGATCTACCACCCTGCAGAGTTCAGATCCAACACACCTGGCTCTAATTATAAGATCCCCCTGAAGGCCGTCATTACCTGGATCAAGTGCCTTAGATGAGGGTTGGAGCTAAACTCAGGACCAGGACCAGGATTGATCACCTCTGCTTTAAATTGTGTGAAATTTTAGATTTTAGGACCAGAACTATCCATTTTATAATGCTTAATAAGCAGCGATATAATCCCAATATGATATTTCGTCCATGTCGCACAGCTTTAGTTGTACATTTCCAAGACGTTGACAAGTTTAGAGTTTAAAAATGTATGGCACCACGTTGCACTACCATCAGCGAGATAAGATAACTCTTTATAATTCAACACATGAACAGTAATGGCTGTGATGGCTTTGTGGAAAGACTGCTGAGCAAACGAAATAAGATCTATATCAAAACCTGGTTAATATGTAACAGGAGATCCACCTGGTCTACCTCACATAGCCAGTGTATGAATTCTGATAATGTATTCCCCACGTGAACCGCATATATGCTCACAGAAGCTATTCTACTAACTCAAATATTCACATTTCAATAAAATCCAGTCACTGCAATTATGCCAGACTAACAGAGAACTGAGGAGAAGAATGTATTTGACTACTTCCTTGTCTCTTGATGGAGGCAAGACAAACCTTTTCAGCTCCACAAAACAAAGACTCCTATTGTAGATATACAGAGACATTCGTTATATAAGTTCATTATATAAATTTGTGTTTATCCATTTTGTTCCTGTGTGAAAAATCCTGCGCTCCAGTGCTGCCTATGTCACCTGCGTAGGCTGCACATTTATGCAAATTTAAGTGTACCCTGACATTTTCTAGTGGGTTTACATCTTCGCTTCTTGTTTTCGAAATGTGCCATATGTTGTTTTGGCTATTTTTCATAGCTTGTGATTAATGGACAGCACATTTCTGTTTGTAAACATGGCCACAGTGAAGGCAGGGCTGCAGTCTTAGTAGACCATCTTGCATAAATAAGTAATAAATGAAATAAAATGTGTCTGTGTGCAATGTTCTTCCTCCTCTGCCCGCTCTGTCAGAGCTGTCTCGTAGAGCCATGTAATATTTATCTGTGTGTGCGCTGTGGTTGTGTGTGTGTTCTCTCACCGGGTAAAGTCCTCCTCATCCTCCCTCTTCTGCCGTAGCTGTCTGGGCTGAGCCATGTTGGCCCAGTTGGGCAGCGACTGCAGCAGGCGGCTAATGTCCTCATCTTTGGCCCAGGACGCGCTGATGGTCAGCTTCTCCTCACACTGCACGATACCCCTGCAGCACAAACACACGAGTCTAAGCCTAAACTCATATCAGGGGTGTCCGAATATATTTTTTCACTTCTTACTTGAACACAGCAGCTGCCGTTTACATTGTGTGAAGAAATACTACAAAGTTACTTGCAATGAAATCTTGTTACATGAACTTGTACTGTAATTTAAGGACATTGGGCCTCATTCACCAACCGTTCTTAAGAAGAAATTTTGGTAACACTTTCTATAAATGTTACGTTTGTAAGCATCTATCAACACATTCATAACATGTTATAATGCATTCATAAGGCATTATAAACATGGCTATAAATATTTGTAAAAATGTAAATATTTATAAAAATGCATTAGTAGGGGCGGCACGGTGGGGCAGTGGGTAGCGCTGTCGCCTCACAGCAAGAAGGGCCTGGGTTTGATTCCCGGCTGGGTGACCAGGGTCATTTCTGTGTGGAGTTTGCTTGTTCTCCCTGTGTCTGTGTGGGTTTCCTCCGGGTACTCCGGTTTCCTCCCACAGTCCAAAAACATGCAGTCAGGCCGATTGGACATGCTAAATTGCCCCTAGGTGTGAATGTGTATGTCTGTTTGTCTGCCCTGCGATGGACTGGCGACCTGTCCTGTCCTGCCTTCCGCCCAATGACAGCTGGGATAGGCTCCAGCACCCCACCGTGACCCAGAAGGATAAGCGGTTTAGATGATGGATGGATGCGTTACACGTTATAGCCATGCTTATTATGCATTATGAATTGTTAACATAATACATTATAAGTACTGACCATAACAAATTATAAGAGCTCATAAGTCATATTTGTCCACTCTAAGTAAAGTGAAGCGTACTGTACTAAAGCCTCCTCCAGTGTTCAGAGTGAGGCTTCAAGTTGAAGTATTTACTGAAGGATTTACTGAAACACTAAAACATTCACAGTAAAGCACATTACAGGCTTCAAATGTCAGAGTTAGTGATGCCGTTAGTAGCGTTTTTGTATTTGGTTTGCTGTGATGCAACATTTAAAGTCAGAGTGCTGGTTAAGAAAAGCACATTGTAGCAATAATTCAAGGCTGGACAGCCTCTGAATATTCAGGACTGAAGCCCTGAAGATGCAGTTCTAACAGCACCAGCAGTGAGTAATAAAGTATTGGAAATTCCAGGGTGTAAATAATAAAATAAACTTTGTATTTGTCTTTATTTTACACTCTCCAAGCTGGGACTGACTTCTTTGGCACTGACAGTATAACATGTTATTAACACTACTTATGATGCATTATATTAACAATTCATAATGTATAATAAACATGGCTATAAAGTGCAATTCAGTGTAATTCATTTTTATAAATATTTATAACCATGTTTATAATATCTTATGAATGCATTATAACATGTTATAAATGTGTTTATAGATGCTTACAAACGTGACATTCATAGAAAGTGTTACCAAAATTTCTTCTTAAAACCTAGTTTTCACAAAGATTCACCAGTGTTTCCTAATTTGAGATTTGTTCTTAGGTAAGAACAGAATCTCCACACACTGAAGAGCACAAAGGTGAGAACAGTTCTGCGGTTTAGGAACACGTCATGAATCTGAAGACTTTTTCTTAGGACTTTTCTCAAGAACACATTTAAGAACAAACTTACGAACATACTTGTTTTTCCATCTAGTGTGAAGTTGCTATTTTGAGAAATATGTGTTTTTGGACAGTGACAATATGCTACTGTTACACAGGCCTATCTACAGGTTTAGGCAAATTAAACCGAACACTTAATAAGACCTTTGCAATATAATTTAATTTACTTTACTCAATGTTTAAAATGTTGCTTTAATAGTAAAGATATGTAGCAGAAAAAGCATTTACTAGTGGTTGTCCCAAGAAAACCTAGAATCTCCATTTTGGACATTTTTCAGTTTTTGACGTAATTTGAAAATACCTGTTACCCTTTACATTGTATGTAAATTTCATGATGAATGGACTAAAAGAAACGTCCCAGAATGACTTGGAAAAACGTCTGGTTCCATTGACTTACATTAAAAGTAAAGTATGTTTTTTCCATTTCCTGTAAAGTTACCATTTTGGAGATACAAGGTTTTCTTCCAACTAATACTCTGTAGCAGATAAGTGCTCAGAACTGTGTGGGTGTGTCGGATCACACTGCCAGAAAAGGTACAGGTGGCACATGCCGGGCAGGACCGATATAGTTCAAACCCGTTCAACACGTTTGACACTGAATTTCAAGAACAAGAGTCCACTTTGTTCTCCACCGTGCGCCGGATGGTAAGTAAGGCTTCATCTTATGATCTCAGATCATGGTGTCTAATATACTGTGTCTAATATCTGAATGCTCTAACATGTCTCTATAACCTATAGCTAGCAAGCTGACAGCTGGGCCGTGCTTCTAAAACTGAAGTAACCCAAGCTCCCATTATAAGTCAGCTTGGTGAAGCTAAATTATCCGCCAGTGTAGTGAGATCATTTTACTGAATAAAATGACTTCAAACAAGTAAAAATGTCTAGAAATAAACTAAATAATCTTATAATCAATAAACAATCATCTAAAAAATTAAATATTAGATATATCAACTAGATTTAAGATCATTTCACTTGACAGGATAATACTTTTTGCAGTGTTTGCTCATCGTCAGCATTTTCTTGGTAGGAGTCTCCAACTGAACAGAGAAAGAACATAGGGGGAAAGCAATTTCAGTCTTGTGACTGGTAAAGATACTGCTTACATACGCAGTATCCAAGATTAGGACTGTCCAGTATACATAGAAAGAGGTTTGTTTAAGGCACCTCTACAACAGCAGTGTGAACATCGCATGAAAAAACAAAGGGTTGGAATTGGATCTGACTTAATACAGCCCAATGTTTGTTTTTTTTTTCTACTTTTTAACTTTCTTGCCAATAAAAACTTTAAATATGAATTATGTTAATCTCTAACACAATCACAGCTGAAAGAAACACTTCTAGCTTAAAATTCTGCCCACAGTCATATGGGATTTATCAAAATAAGTATGTTGTGTTGAGTACAACCAATCAGAACTTCAGTAGCCTGTCTCAATGTCCTGTTCAGAAAGTTATCGACTGGTTGAGACTTGGACCATGTGTCGAATAAAACCGAACTCCTTTTGTCTCTCTGAGAGAGATGACTGTACAAAAAAAGCGCCCACTCTCACGCACACAGCTTCACTGTTAGATTTTAGAGCAGCAATCTCAACAAATCTGTGGGCCGGCTGTGTTTTTATTTCATTTTTACTTAAAACAAGCACTGAATACTTGAACAATTAAAAAATAATTTTAAATAAAACCAAACTGCTTTATGTAAAACAACAGACCACATTAGCTGCAGATACTGTTACACCTCTTTAAACGTCCCCGGTGTACAGCAGGGTTTTTAAACGGCCCATTTGCCTGAACTAGACAACTGGCATGTTTTTTTGTTTTGTTTTTGTGGTGCTGTCCCTTAGATTGGTGCTGGGGAGGGGGTGGGAGCATACATTATGTTGCAAATTAAAATACTTCTGCGGGCTGAATAGGATTGTGCCACGGGCCTCGTGTTTGACACATGGGTTTTAGAGTGTGCACAGCCTGTGCTGTGATGTGCTGTCCACTGTTGCTAAATAAACAAGTCTCATTCCTGCTCAAAACCTGACCGGACCAGCACATTTACTCACTGATGGTAGGCTTACTGAGAATGGGAGGAAACAGTGCAAAGACTCAAAGCTTCTTTTCCTTAATTTAGTCTGGCATCTGTACCATAACTTTGAATATTTGTGCCTTTTTAGCACTGTCTTTGGTGGATTTAGAGTCAGTACCCGAGCCATTACACGATTCCTGAATCGATTCCTTCTCACTGAATTGTGACGTCCCTATTTAAGACTTTTTAAGGACGTGTAGATTCCCTGAATATACACCTTTTGTCTTTGTCTGTATCTCTTTCTCTCACACTTCTAAACTTTTCGAGCAGCCATATTTCCCTGGTGTACTGAGATCATGGACGGTTTGCTCTTAGCCTGATCTCTAAGCTATGATTCGTGAAGCCGCCTGGCTGATTGAAGCTGCATCTGAGGGCCTTCCCCTGGCTCCACATCAAATCAACCCTCTCTGTTACACACCTCAACTTTAGAGCCTGCGCTGCTCTGCCGTTCTGTTCCAGAGACAGAAAGACACAATATGAATGTCCCCCATGCTCAGTAAGCAAAGAAGACGCCTTTAAAAGGAGAGCAGTCGCTGATAATGGGTTATTACTTTAGGCAGCTTGAGAACAAAGTGTCAATAACAAAGCCAAAGACAGAAAATCAGAAGAGGCAATGACAGTTAATGACAGTTCATGACTGCCATTATCACACTGCCGTGTCATGGTTTTCTCAGTGATGTTATGGATGACATACGAGCCAGTTACAAACCAAAGTCGTGTGCCAAAGGGTTACATCAGGGGTCGAGATGGTTTTAGGGAGGGTAGTTTGCGTAAAATATTTGCCACTATGCACAAAAGCTAGATATTCTGGATGAAACTGTAAAAAATGTAAATATGTAATGTGCAAAAGTCAAAGACCGCCTTTTGGTTAATTAAATTTCCAGTCAGAACCACCATTAAGTATAAGTTATTCATTTTTAGTGTCAGATAAAAAGCAGGAAACATATTTAATTATTTTAAAATTATTAAAATATATACACAAACAACTGTGCAAGTACTGGTAGACACCAAAACTGACCCCATCAGATAAACTGGGCAGAAATTCCCACAGACACTCTCCAACTTCTTGTAGAAAGCTTCCCAGAAGAGTGGAAGCTGTTATAGCTGCAAAGGGGGAACCAACTCCATATTAATGCCTATGGATTTAAAATGGGATGAACAATGTTGTCCATATAGGCTAAGTGAAAAAAATGGTATTCAAACAGTGATTAAAAGCTACAGAGAAAATGAGACTCCTAACAACCAACTGGAAGACCTGGTCGACACCAAAACTGCCCCCATCAGATAAACAGCACTTAAAGCTTTCATCTTTGAGAGAGAGGAGAAAATCAAGCTGCTTCAGATCTGAAAACATCCACAGGTGTTTCTGTCCATCCTTCCACTGTGAGAAGACGACTCAGCGCTGTGGGTCTGAAAGGATGTGTAGCTGTTCAAGAAGAACCTCAGTGAGAAAAGGAGACGGACACACCAAACAAAGAAGCTGAACGATGGACTGACCACCCCAGAGTCCAGACCTCAACATCACTGAATGTGGTGGATTGTGAGAAGCAGAAAATGAAAAAACAACTTCTTAGACTGAACTTTGGAAGTGTGAGAATGTTTGAGAAACTGAAAGAAAGTCTCCTCAAAAAGTTGGAAGCAGTAATAAAGAGTGGACGCACTACATGGTTGAGGCTTCTCTGTAATTTTCTGTTGAATATATCTTTTCTGCTTTTTTGTCTGACACTGAAAAATGAATAGCTTGTACTGAACGGCCGTTTTGACTGGAAATCTGATAAATGAAAGGGTTAACTTCTTGGAGGTTTGATGACTTTTACATCAAGTTTCTTTTACTTAGTTGGATTGCAACCAACTTCTTAGACTGAACTTTCAAGGTGTGGAAAAATATTCCTGATGATTTTTTAGAAAAAACTAGAGGAACAACAGATATAAAAGGAAATGGTGGAGAGTAAATACTACAAAAGGGTGATACTAAGTTGAAGGTTTTTTTCTTTTTCATTTTTTAAAGGTTTTCTGCTTTTTTCCTAACACTAAAAACACAGTAACTTCAACTTAATGGCCATGTTCACTAAAAATGAAATAAATGAAAGGGTGGTCTCTGACTTTTGCACAGTACTGTATGTGGTAAGGCAATCAACAACATGAAACATGCAAAAATCAACTACTTATCCCTGCAACCTTTTAGACCAATAATAGATACAAAATGAGGAGGTTATAAACACATTTTGCAACACCTACAAGACTTGTTTCACACAGGGAACAGGGAATAAAATGCTTTATCAGCTCTGTAAAGCTTGCAGTCTTTCACCTTGTCACGACTATCATTTATATGCAGTACAGCACAAATAACAGAGGCCCTAAAACAGAGCCCTGCAGCACTCCTAGGAAATGAGGCTGCATTCCATCTGCAGCTATACTCCGAAGTCTATAAGCGAGATTACAGAGTTACAGAGCCAGATCCTGGCTTTATGATCTAAGCCAACAGGAGGACAATGCGCTAAATAGAAAGAAGTGAACAACCATACAGAATCTCAAAGAAAGGTTAAAAAAAATCTGTTCTCAACAGAATATAGTGTGTTATTCATAACTAGTGCTGCTGTAACAGTGGCGGGTGCAATGAGCTTTGAAAATAAATGAATGTAGTTAAAATATAGATAGGTGCATAATTAGAAACTACTGTTGAGCAAGGCCTCCCCCCTTTTTAGCAGTGAATGGACTTCCACACTTTAGGGATGAGTCACTTCAAATTACCAGAAGCAATGCCGCTAGCAATACAGAAATCAGGTCCAACCTATTGGCAACTACACACATTATTCTGGCAGTCCAAGGCAGAGCATTCAACCCAAAGGACAGGCTTCATTATTTATTCCATCAAAAAATACGCCAAATGAATCAAAATGATCATTTAGAAACATTTTAAATTTGCCTGATTAAAACTAAGACCTATATCTAGCACTAATGGATAAGACATTTCTGAGGAAATGTAACTGTGCACAGGGCTTTTGTGAATCTTTTCGACTCTCCATGTGTGGGCACAAGTGATACACATTGTCACATGGGTATTCTGAGAGGAAATCGCTGTCTTTGCACTTTCTCTTCATGACTGAGCACAATTCGGACCCCCTGCTGATGGATACACATGCTTAGACACAGAAGCACATGTTTGTTGCTATGTTTGTCAGCAGGAGTTCTTATTCACAACGCTCAGATACGCAGTCGTGAGACGATGGAGAGGGCTGTGTTACAATGTGCTGCATGCAGTGCGGCTGCTTCAGAGGTACTGAGGAGGTTTTTGTTCATATGGTTCATTCTCAAGAACGTGGCCCAATGTCTGAGACTTGGTCCAGTGATTTGTCACAATACTGAGACAAGACGAATGAAGATTTGACACTAAAAATGTATAAACATAGATATGAAGCAAATAACTTCAGGTCAGTTTATAGGCCTATAGGTCAGCAATCGGAGACCAACGGCATGAAGTTCCTATTTACCATGAAAACTACTACTACTACTGATGTTCAGTTTAAGCTGTCCTAACAGATTAACATTTAGATCATCTGTAATAAATGTGTACAGTAAAGACAGAAGACCTGGCAGAGAATGGGTTTCTAAGGCTACGTACAGCAGGTAAAAATGGCCCAAATCTGATTTTCTCACCAAATCTGATTTTTTCGTTTGGCTGTTCACATTATCTTTTAAATGTGATCTGTATGAGACATCAGTCTGAACAGATCAGCTCCTAAACTGACCCGCATGTGTGAAAGAACAGAGCTTCACGTGGCTCATCCAGAGGTAAACAATCATAACCGCCAACGAACGCCAGTCGCGCCCGGAGGATCAGCTTCATCTTCACCAGCATCACAGGAGCCATCATGAAGCTTCACTGACTGACAGCTGGGCTCATCAGCCAGAATGTGTTCGAGCTCGCCGTAAAAAGGGCACGGTCACTTCTCTGGTTCATGTCCTCGGACTCTTTAAACTTTGCTTTCAGACTTTCTGTTCTTTGATGCTGCAGCCTCGTTCTCCTACGGCCGCGTTCAAAATCTCTTCGAACGTGGAGGGTTTTGGACACATCTCTTCAACTTTTTTGTACAGAAACATCAGCCTAAATGTTTATGAGTCTCAGGAGCGCGAAATTATGAAGGATGTGGAGTTGGATTGACGTAAAAGTTGCATGAATTCTGATCTGGCTGTTCAGACTGAATCGCACTGCCGCATATTGGATATGTATCGGATTTCAGCACCACATATGAAAGCGTCTCAAAACGGAATTGAAAATATCAGATTCAGTGTGTTTTTTTGCTCCTCACACTGACACAGACACACATCTGCATCACATATGAAGAAGAAAGATCAGAATTGGGCCACTTTTACCTGCTGTGTGAACAAAGCCTATGATATTGAAAACTATAGTTTCAATGACAAAGTTAACTTCTACTTTTATAAACGACACTCAGGAGGTGCAGAGGCAAAGCACAGGCCCAGAGATAATTATGTCATGCTTAACTATTTAATAACATATTTAGTTAAGAGTGAAATAATCAAGACAAGGAAACTACAAAAAAGAAACAGGCAGCACAGCCGAGAAAACACGGAGGAACAGAAGCAACAGCCATCGCAATGTGAAAGAGCGCATTTATTTTAAATGACAAGAGCTGTAATTTTAGTTGTATCTTATAATATTCAATGTCGTCCTAACAAGTTTTAAGCTGGGATATTTAACCTAATAACACAGAGCTTATGAACTGGCAGTCTGGCACAGTTCAGTGACCAAGCCTCAAGTCTGAAAAAAATGGATGTGCAGATCTTGGTGAAGCTTAAAGAATGTAATTGCATTTAAATTGCATTTGTAACGTTGGTCTGAAACATTGCAATCAGATATTTTCCCCAAATTCTTCAGCTCTACATGCCATTTGGAAAAATAACTTCAAAACAGGTAAGAATCAACAGAAAACAACAGGCTCTGATGACCAGGGCAGTTTCACTTTGGCATTTGGGCTCAGGAGTCATTACAGTGCAGTATTCTGTACATCTTACTAAACTTAACCAAGCCTCTCTGTCTAAAGGTCAGCATAGAATATGCAAAAAAGACCAAAAGACAGACGATTGGTTTAATTTGTTGTCACTGGAACTTGTGTTTCAGGGCAGTCGAAGTGGTTTCAGGGTTCTAAACAGTAATGAAACCAGTTCATAGCAGTTTATGCACACCAGTGTGCTTTCACCCCTGTCCTAATGTACTAATGTACACTGACAGAATGTGTTACCTGTAGGCGGTGTTGCAAATTTCCTTGTATTCTTTAAGCTTGTCACAGATCATCTCTAGAAACTGGTTGGAGTATGCACTGAGATCCCGCATCAGGCTCATCAGATCCTGGATGGACTTCTCCACTATCACAGTGCTCTGGAAACACAAAACACAGACATACACAACATTAGCTACAGTGCTGGAGATGATGGATGCTCTAGTAAATGGAGGGGAGTGCGGGGAACAACCTAACGTGGGGCACAAATTAATACAGACCTTTTATGTTGTTAAAGAAGGTCAAGCAGCGTGAGCTTCTGGCCACACTACCACATTTCCTAGCCACGGTCTCCCACCAAAATTCAGAGAGATTCGTCAGCGTTTTAAAGAGATCTGTGCCAAAGTGTGTTTTCAGGGCATGTGAGTCATTTTTTTCCACACAAGTTTTTTTTGGTTACTGAGCTGTTTGTGTAAATCACAAAATCCAACCTTACATTACTTTAATCACCATCTTGTTGCACCGTTTTGCAGCGGCTGACAGGCTCACAGCAAGTGCAACTGGGCTTAAGTACAGCCTCCGTACTGCAGGGTTAGTTGTAATACAGTGTTAACTAAGCCACCTTTAGTAAACAAAGACAAATAAAGTAAACTATGTGTTTTTGTTCCACATGTTCACAAAGATTTTACAATGAAAAAGAGAAAATATCTGTAAACAGAGATTTGCTTCTACTTTATTAGTATCTTTCATATGTTAGTATTTTGGTTTTAAATATGTATATTAATGAAATTGACATTATCAGTTGGTAAAACTGTAGTTATTCAGAAAGAACGTTCCATATTTTACTTATGTGTGATGTTTGTATTTGCTGTCCTTCACTGGACAAATAATCAATCTGTCATTGTTCGACACACAGACTCATGTCAGTGTTCATATATACTTCGATGTGTGTGTATCTATCAGCTGATCTGTCTGTCTGACTTATAGATGAAAATATATTAGTTTCCTACAACATGGAATTATATTGAATTAACTTTGTTTGCATTGATTCTTCAGGTGTTAAACTGACCCTCTGTCTGTTACAGTGAACCCACCAATTGATTAAACTGTAACACTGCTCTATCCATAATTTTCGGTGGAATTGTACATGAACAGTAGGTGCTAGAAACAAAGTTCAAGTGTTGATTTGTAGCAGAGATGTTTATGTTACTTGTATAAAAAATATGATTATTCCAGCTTAAATATTTTTTTGTTATTCAACAAAAAACAAAATGTGTTAGACTGTGCCCCGCTCTCACCTACTGAGTCAGAGACCACCTCTTTACTACCACCCCACCTTATTTACTTAACTTCCAGTCAATGCAGCCATAAGTTCAAGTCATTCATTTCTCAGCAGAAAACATATTTTACAGAAAATTACACAGAATTACAGTCAGTATTTATTGTATCCACTCCTCACCTTCATTACAGCTTCCATTCTTTTCAGAAGACGCCCTTTCAGAAAGGGATATTTTTCCACACCTCCAAAGTTCAGTCTTACAAGCTGGTTGCATTTCTACTTCTCCTGATCCAAGAAATCCCAAAAACATTTAATGATTGAGCTTTGAGTGCTGTTTATCTCATAGGGGCGGTTTTGGTGTGTACCTGGTCTTCCAGGTGGTTGTTAGGGGTCCCATTTTCTCTTTTAATAATTTTTTGAACTCTAGTTTTGGAAATTTTAGGTATGTTCCTTTGTCTTTTTCCTTATGCTAGTGGATCACATTATATCATATTTATATTATACTGAGAATATATTATATTTTATATTCTCAGAAATATCTCCTTAAAAAGGAATGACTTACTTAATGGCCGCTTTGGCTGGAGATAAAATAAACGAAGGGCGGCATCTGACTTTTGCACAGTATTTCAATAAAAAGTTAGCTTAGTTACTTAAATTTCACTTTCACTAGTTTGGGATGATGAGCGAAACACACAGCCATCACCTGTACTGATACCGGCAAAGATCAGTTTTATGAACAAAGACGGATTCCGACCCCCAAAAATACAGAAAACCAGAAATCTGCCATGTTCAGAAGACGTCAATCCTGCCTGACATGGTTTCAGCTATGAGTGGCTATTAAATCTGACGAGCTTGAAAGAACTTTCTGAATTCCATACATCAAAGTCTCCAAACGTACACTTTTCTCTGACCTGCTGAGGAATCGATTACTGTGTTACAGTCTCTGATTTGACTGCTGGTGGCCATATTGTTTTCAGCGGCTGAAATGAAGCACTTGCAAATGACAGCTCAGTCATTTTCCATATTCAGGACTGCCTGTCAGCCGCCTCATACGCCATGCGCAAAAGCGTCAGGCACTCCATAAATGACATGCAATCAGACCTCACTTTCACCTGTCAAAGCCTGGTGCTGCTCCAAGAGCAGCTGTCACTGATACTGTGTGTGCGCAATGGTGGAAGAGCGAGAAATGCCACTGTATGAGACTAGAAGCCATTACAGATTAGTCACAGAACTGGAACTAATGGAGAAAACACAGCATCAAAAGACGCCAGGTAAACTCCACTGCTGAAGCCACACAGTCCATCCCTTCCTGCGGTACTGATCTACTTCTCCTTCTCCTGCCACACCCTCTCTGCCAGAACAACGAGTGGTTATTCGACACAGTTTAACGGAACGCGGCCAAAACAGAAGCGCTGCATGCAGAGAGACAGCAGTCATGCGGTGTTGTTAGCGCTGCCTGTAGCCTTTGGCTGGGGTTCCTTCGCCCGGCAATGGCCGCAGGATTGGAGAAGCGCTGGCAGCCGTATAGGTGGCGGCGGTGGCGTTGGCGTTGGCATTGGCTTGTGTACAGAAGTCAGAAGTGTAGCCCCTCGCAGCCTTGGCGCTGGCGTAAGTCTGTTTAATTGGCCCTAGTGTTGGGAGGCCCCCACGCTGAGCTGCTATGACACGCCCCGCCCAGCAGGGGGAAGCAGTGCCTTTAAGCGGCGAAACGCTTGATCTGCAATCTGTTCTACATTTCAATGCACGCTGCCGGCGGCCCTGAGGAGGAGGGGTGGCGGGGGGGGTGGGGGTAATGATCCGTAGAGAGGCTGGAGCTGTGACTGCGGCTGAGGGAAGGGGGGCTGGGGGGGTGGCGGCAGGAGGTGGGATTGAACGCTGGGTTCCGTGCCAGCCTGTTTCAGCAGGGGACTATGCTGTGGCCTTGCTGGAACAACTCCATCATCTCCAGAATGTGTCAGCGTTTGCGTGTACGTGGATATAATAGCAAAGCTTGGCTGCTGCCCCGACTTGACATCCAGACTATTGTTTAAATCAAAAGTTGGCCTGAAACGTAACACAATCAAAAGGATCAACAATACCGCTTGGTCAGTCTGATGGATCTCTCTTTCCCTCTCTCTCTCTCTCTCTCTAACTCTCTAAAGACCTAAACCCAATTATTCCAGTAACAAATGCTTCAGCACTCTGTAGCACTTGTCTAATTCTGCTCATTTAACACAGACATTCGTCTTAGCTCAGGAAATCATTAAAAAGTAATCAAGCCGCAGAGAGAGGCTAGAAGGGCAGAGAGAGAGAGAGAGAGAGAGAGAGAAGGAAAGAATGAAAGAAGAGGGTGCGATAGAGCAACACACAGGCGGAGGAGGGAAGAAAACGGTCCATTTGTCCTGCAGCTAGAGAAATCTTTCCATCTTAAAATGCCACGCTGGGACAAATGATGAGAGATAGAAGTACCACTCCTCCCTGCCCGTCATCCCTCCTCCTTCCTCTGACACTTCCAAACGACCTACCTCTCGTGCCCAAACGACACTTCAAGCAACTTCAGAATGCCATTAGCATCTGAAGCATTGATTACGCACAGGCGCACAGCTGTGCACTCAGCTCATTTCAGTACAAGTCTAGGATCGGCTCCCCTTCGCCCGTATAAATATATTCATTAATCCACAAAAAAGGCCACAAAAAAAATCCAACATCAGTATTCTAAGAAGTATTTTAATCCGTACGACTCCCCACCTTTGGTGGCACGGCGCATTAGACAGCGATACCCATGCTAGCCTGCGTTCGCTTTCTACTAATTGCAGTCACTTTAGAGCAGGAGAAATGAACAGATTGGGCAAACGCTGGGCAGGTAATAGCTCTCTACCTGTGAGAGCTAATGAAAGAAGCACAACATTCAGCAGAGTGGAGAACACAAATGCTCATACAGGGTAGAGAGTCTATTTTTATTAAGTCTCGTTCAAAAGAACTCACACTGAGCAGCGGTACAGTGCTCTTATTGTGACCTCAAAACGTCCAAACAGGCCTAGAAAGCAGAATAACCAGCGCAATATAACAACGTCTCGTAGGAACACATATAAATATGCTTCTCTTGAGCAAAGACTTTAAAGGAGAGACAAAAACAAGGCAAAGAGTGAAAGAAGTAAAAAAATAAGCTGTGTCAAATCTCTGGGGCCTTTATGACTGTGACAACCAGAGTGGGTCCTGTTGACTTCAGAAGTTTCCTTTGTTTCAGAATTATTTGATAATCTTGAACCTAGACCGGGATCGCTAATTAAGCCTATGTAAAAGTCCCATTTATCTTAACTGCTGTTTCCACGTCCATCAAACTTTCAGCACACTGAGGAGAACATCAAACGTTTTTATTCAGAAATAAACTGGCTTTACAAGATGTTCAGTGCAGACACAACTTTGAGAACCGCTAAAATGTAAATGTAGGCCAATATAATGGCTTTTTGTTTTCGCTAATCAGACCTGGGAAATCTTTTAGCCACTGGATGATAGAGCAGAAGATTTTCATTCCTAATAAGCACGGAAGCTACCTCTTCAGATGAGCTAATGATAACGCTAACAGTGGAGTCAACACTGGAACTAAGAAAACTCACCCTAATATTGTTCTTTGGGTGTGTCTCAAAACCTAGTGAGCTCTACATAGACAGCATTTTACGTCACAGTACGCGCGCTCCCGACAAGAAGGCTGTCCCAGTTCTTAGATATCTCAAATATGCTGCCTACTGAGGTCTCATTTTGCCCAATATCAAGCAAGCATCGGATGTTTCCTCAGCCGCTGAGGCAATCCCACGATGCAGTGCGGCGCAACTGTTGTTTGAAGATGGCGAGCAGAAGCTTCACCAAGCAGCGACGTCATCTTCAAACGTAAGTTATTCTCAT